TTTTTTTTTCACGCTGCTGAATGCAGTGCAACATTACTGTACATTGCCAGGCCCATAGACTCCTATAATGCTGCAGACAGATGCATAACCCCTGTGTTATTATGCCCTGAGCAGTGACGGCGGCCAATAGGATTCAGTGTACATGGAACCTATCGGCCAACATCACTGCTCAGGACCAATATGTAAACATCATAAATGGACAGCCAGCAGCACCGCTGCTGATTACACATTAATGTTTACATCTCCCCCTTAAGGGCCTGTTCACATGATATCAGGTCCTGATCAGGTGCGGATCTGCAGACTGTCTGATGCAGTGCATTTTTGCCGCGGTTTGGCCGCGTTTTTGATGCGAGTGGGGCTGTTAGTATGTTAGCTGCAGTGCAGTGCGTTTTTCATGCGTTTTGGACGCGTTTGTATTTCCTGACCGTTTCCGGACCTGACAAAATGTGACATGCAGTATTTTTTCTGTCGTAAGCTGAACGGACTGCGCACATGAGAACTGGAGCCCATAAAACACAAAAGGATACATTGGGATGCATTTTGAGTGCAGCAGCGTACGGAGCCGGTCAGCACACAAAACGGACGTCGTGTGAACAGGCCCTAAATGAATAATTTATGCGCTGGTGACAAATGTGCCGCGTGACCCGGGCCTTCAGTCATTCCGAATCAGATGAGGTAATTCTAAGAATTTGCAACCACAGCCTTGCCACTGGCTACACATTGTTATTTACATGCCTACCCTGAGCAGTGGTGGCGGTCTATAGGATCCATGTACATTTACTTTATGCATGTAAACATACATACAAATATTATCTGCATACAGTGTACTGACAACTTTTTATGCAGGATATTGCTGCCAGCAAGATTCTCCTTAAATTAATACACCCCTGTGAATGAGTCCTTTAGTATTCAGCACTTTTGGGAATGTCTGATGCCTGCGTCCACTCCAGAGTCCTCTAGTGACAGAGGTGGGAGGACATGATAGTTTTTGCAATACATTTCAATTGGATATATTGCAGCTGATCAGTTTCTTTTAATCTGATAATTGTGTAAATAACACACTTCCTGTCCCATGGTTTCCACCCAGGCTGGAATTCAAACTTGTCTGCCTTTGTTACATTGTTTTTAGCCCAAAAATAAAAACCAATGCAGCCATCACATCTAAGACATGGTAAGCTGTGAATGGTATATTTTTGTTCCTGGGTTCAGTTATTGTATAAAATCTACACCTTCTTGATGACATTTTATGTAACTTCTGATGTTGGCTGTTGTTCTTTGGTAATGTTCCAATTGTGAAAGCGAGTTTATTTGTGTTACAGTAACACTGCTTAGCTTTTTCTGGTGACATTTGGACATGGCAGCTCTCCTGTTTTCTAATTACTGTAGGGTGAAAGTTACTGTAGCTATGCAACATGGGAGGGTTTAAATTCTAAATGAAAGACTTGTTGAGAGACTTATTTTCATTATGAAAATAAGTCTCTCAACAAGTCTTTCATTTAGAATATTGTCTCCTTGGCTCTGTGGTTTTCCTTCCAACATCTTTCCCCTTGTGCCTCACAATACTGCTTAGTATATAAGGGATCTAATCCGGAATTATCCGGTTTATTGTCTAATTCAATGACAAAAGACATACATTCTATATATTGTTTGTATGCAGGTTCTGGATGGTTCAAGCTTAGATGTGGATTTCTACCTCCTATCTCCACATGGAGAAATCGTATTGTCTGAGACTCGCCAGTCCGATGGGGTCCACACGTAAGTTCATAACGATACTCTAAATAAGCATTGGGTAACTAGCATCTCTGGCCTTATACCACATTCCTTTTTATCAATCTAGAGTGGAGACAGTCGATGGTGATTATGAGTTTTGCTTCGACAACACCTTCAGCCGACTCTCGGACAAGGTGATCTTTTTTGAACTCATCTTAGACCACATGAATGAAGAAGTGAATGACCAGGAAGACTGGAAGAATTATGTAGTTGGTGCAGATCTGCTGGATATGAAACTGGAGGATATTCTGGTTAGTGCCATTTTCTTTGTTATCTATATGTTTACAAATGGTTGTAGCTTTATTTAAAAGGTTTTCCACTTCTTGCTTGCATAATTCACATCATCATGGTTTCATGCTTTTGGACTCTGATAGTTACCTGGTTAGAACTTTTGATTCCCAAGCGTTCATTTGTTGATATCTGAAGGCTTTTTAGTTGATGAAAGTTACTGTAGCTATGCAACATGGGAGGGTTTAAATTCCAGGTAGTCAATGTATCCGTATTAATACATTTTGGATCCTTGCAGCTTTGTTCAAACAAATAAAAAAACAGCAACTTTGTTTGCTACAGTTTTAGCAGAGATGAACACACACCTGAGGGCAGTAAGGCCTCATTCAGACAAAAAAGGCCAGCACGTACAGCACCGTGCGGCGTGCACGGCCGTATCGGGCAGCTCCCGGGAAGGACAGGTGCTGCGTGTGATTAGTACGCATCCCCTGTCCTTCTCTATGGGAGTATGCTGCCCTACGCTCACCCCAAGTGCAGGTCCGTATGGGTGCGGGTGTCCCGGCTTGGGCGCAGACAGGATCCATCCTGTCAGCGTACGAGTACGGACACCCGCAAGGACGTGCAGGGCGGGTGAGCGTAGGGCGGTGTACGGCCGCGTAGTCCCATAGAAAAGGACAGGGGCTGCATACTAATCACAAGCAACACCTGTCCTTCTCGGGAGCTGCCCGATACGACCGTGCACGGATCTGTATATGCCGGCTTTTACTCGTGTGAATGAGGCCTTGCTGTGAAGCAGACATATGTAATAATTAAACATGGATGCCCACACAAACACCAACAATTACAACCTCTGGGTCCACATCTTAAAAAAAAAAACTTTCTGTGCCATAAACTTAATTTCTTCTTGTATCAACTGACTAGCATCCTTATAGGATCAACAGGTATTTTTTTTACACTTAGAGAAGAGATGTAACAAAATACTTTCAATGGTATATTTAACACACCAAAACGGACCGTATAAGAGACGTTATATGTTGGGGTTGGGAAATTAACTTTTAATACATAACCCTAACTTTAACCTGTAACTAAACCCTAATATTTAACCTTTTCCATACAGGCACCAAAGCCATCAGGACTTAAATCTTGTGCTGGTGTTAAAAACAAGTTCTAACCAGGTTAAGGGACACCAAAAGAGTATAAGTGCAGTATCTTCACAACATGCACATGTACTCATGAACTCCTAGCAGAATGGAGCAATAGTTTGTCCCATTGTCCTAAGGCAGCGGTTCTCAACCTGTGGGTCGAGACCCAAAAGTGGGTCGCAACTCGCTGTTTAGGGGGTCGCAGCATCCACTTCTGCTGCGCTAGGTGAGAGGCTCCTCAGCCTCCTCCTAGCGCGTCAGTGTCAGTCGGCAGGAGGACAGCAGAGGCTGTGAATTTAAAAGTGCCGCTATACACACTCCCTGGCCACTGCAGCGACATCTAGTGGTAGGGGAGTATGTATAGCAGGGCTTTTCTATTCACAGCCGCTGCTGTCCTCATGCCTCCCATACAATGTGAGCTCTGCAGGAGGCGGCTGTCTAAGCAGTGCTGGGGCTGAGAAGGCTGCATGGAGACAGAGCAGGTAGCAGGGGCTGGGGAGGGCTTGTATTCTTGTGAGTGTGCTTCTATTTTTAGTCCCAAGTCCAGCGCCTTACTAATTCTGGAGTCCAGCACTCCATTGGGGGTCACCACAACTTGGCAAATGTTACCAAGGGGTCCTGGCCCTAGAAAGGTTGAGAACCACTGTCCTAAGGGTATATTTGTATTGTATCGACAGGTTCTTCAATGCCCTGCTAAATAAACTCAATATACCAGGTTCCCAATCATGGGTGCCCACAGGGAGACAACCCAGGATTTAGTAAATCCCAATCATTAACAAGTGACAATGTGATATTATTATTATTATTATTTATATTTTTTTCTAACTTGCTGGAAAATTATTATTTTAGTAGAGCCTTATGCATAAAAATTACTGTTGAAAGTTAAACTATTAGAAGCAATGCTGATTGCCCTAAAAATGCACAAACTACATAAGGTAAAACAGCAAGTGCTATTTTAGTAATTTGCAGTCACTTGATTCATATGAAGATTATGCATTCATGGATAATTGTCTCCTATGCAGCCAACATTAGACAAACATCCCTTTGTGCTCAGCAGACAAATAATGGTATTGGCTGACCACATGCCCACTAGTCAGTACAGGTCTAACATTTAGTGTTTAGTTTTCATATTTGTGTGTGTGTTACCTGCATTTACATTTCTTATCTAAATAGATTAAAAGACAAACAAAAAAGGGTGTACCTTCTTCAATAAAGATACACTGCCAAAGTCTTGGGAATAATAGTAAAACGTGGCAGTAAGATCAACGTACAGTCTCTCATGACCTGCCCAATGACAGATGTGTAAAGCTGAATAATGCTGTCTTCTTGTTGGCAGAAAGTATACGTTTTGAGAGGACTGCCTGCTGGTTTCATTAATACTGCTTGCACATCCATGTAGAAGGTTCAACATTACTGTCGTGGTGTACCAACTCTCATTTTGCAATAAATTCCAAAACTTCACATATTGCCGGTCAAGAAAACATTGTAGCCCTTTCGCAGATGATTATTTAGGAGAGCAATGTCATCACTTTCAGTCCACATAGTTTCTTCTATTTTGAGCACACACTGGGGATGAGAAAGTAGGCTCTGTCATTTTGCAGAGTAGAAGAGCCTTGTTTACCCTCAGGATGTCAGGATTTGCAGAATTTGGCACCCAGACATATTGGGTATACTGCAGGGTCCTGCCCTTTCATGGTACTAAGCTTACCAATGCAGACTGTAATCAGTGCAAGTGAAGGAATGTTCAGGAAGTCCAAATGTTTAAAAAAAAAATTGTTGGAGGGAATACAGAGCCCTTAACTGTAGACTGTCAGGAGGAGATCTGTAGAATAAAAGAGCATAAAAAAAGGGGAATAAAGTCCCGGGAGAGATCTGTATGAGTGTAGTATTGAAATGTCTGCAAGTGGTTATTTTAAGCTGCATCAAATAATAAAATTATATACTTTTTGATAAACCCATGTCATTGAACTGTGTATTTAGCAGTTTGCCTCGAGTTCAGCTTTAACCTTTACAAAGACTGATTGTCAAATTGGTCACATTTCTTTCATACATTGGGCAGTATATGGCAGCCTTTTGAATAACATTTGGCATGATGATATCTCTCAATACACATCTCTTCCCAGGAAACCATTAACAGCGTGAAAGGAAGACTGAGCAAAAGTCTGCAGATCCAGACTCTGTTGAAGGCCTTCGAAGCACGTGATCGCAACATCCAAGAGAGCAACTGTGACCGCGTGAACTTCTGGTCTATAGTCAACTTATTGGTGATGGTTGTAGTGTCTGTTATTCAAGTGTATTTGTTGAGGAGCCTTTTTGAGGACAAGAGGAAAAGCAGACCCTGATTGAAGAGAAGGAAATGTGCCAAAATTATAAGGGAAAATAGACGAAATCATAAGGGGGACTTTGTTACACGTGGATGTTTTATCCATCAAAGGTTTTTCTTCTTTTTTTATTTTTACTGGTGCAGTTTTGGTCCTTGTTTACTTGGAAAACTGGGGGGGGGGGGGTGTTATGTGTGCAATCTGCAGTCGTTTCAAAGCCATCAATGCTGGAGACATTTGTAGAACACTAGAACCATTTAACCATCTAAGGAACATTTGTCATACTAAGCCTCGCGTGTTAAAGTGCATCAATGAAGATCTATTTTTGTTGCCTATAGTAGTCAGTCGGCTCATTTTGTGTTTTAGTGCATAAAATGGAGAATCTTGCTGCTATGGGCAGTACAGTCCTTTTTTATACTTTAATGCACGAGGCATATGTTTTTAAAGCATAACATTTGTCAATCATTTACCTTTTCTATACTTGAACAAAAACATTACTACTGTGAAATTCTAGAAGTGAGAATCTAATGCAGTAATACAAGACCAGAAGATCATTTTTTTTTTTTTTAAATCTGGTCATGGATCACATAGGGGAAGGGAGGGGGGGGTTCCTATCCTTCCTCTGGCTGGTGGGAGTGGCCTGAATTCCCCAGAGAATGGCGTCATTGCAGCCTTCTGGGGACAGGCTTTTCTACTCGGGCTGTAGCAGCTTAAGAAAGAAAATGAACTGAAAAACATTGAACAACTAAATGCTTTTTTTTATTTTTTATTTTATGTTAACAGGTAGGATTTTATAGACGAGACTCTGCGTCTCTTTTCTGTCTCCCAGCAATTTTCTTCCCATTGTACACTGAGCTTTTGTTTCAAGTTTAGTACTCAATGATGCAACAACATATGAGGTAACTATATACTTGGTATGAAGGAACAAAGGAATGTCTGGTAACAGCTGATAACTGAGTAGTGCAGTAACAGTGTCCATCTAATGCACTAGATTTTTAGACATTATAGATCAAACAATCACTTCAGATATTGCCATCACTGAATTTTTACATTTCTAATAAAACTTATTCCTTAACCAACAGCGTTGTTGATTTATATTGTACAAATGAGTTAAAGCTGGTCTGCAGGTCAAAGTACACTTGGAGCTACAAGGACACTGGTATGGTGCTTTGGGGGGCTTTTGTTCCTGGGGCCATGGTCTTGAAGTTAAATGCACCCATCCTTTGAACTGGACACCTCTACCAAACACTACAGTATGTATAGTGCATCTGTTGTCTGTAAACAATGACGGCTACTACCATAGAGTGACAGACAAATGCACTTTTTTCATCACCAATATTTGGCAGGATCTGGGGAATAATAGGAATGAAAGAGATAGTTACCCATAGTGACCATCCTAATTTCTGGAATAAAGAAAGAAGGAACGCCACTTTTGTTGCCCCTTATTTTCCTCCAGAGTGTATAATTATGTCTCCAGTACCAAGTATTTGGGCGAGTACTCGTACTTGCCCAAATGCTCCCAATGCCTATCCCGATATCAGAACTTCCGGTATCCGGGAGGCTTCCTAAATGGCCAGGAAGTCAGCTCCTTTGTCACTTGGTCACCCCCAGGCTTCCTGATTGGCCGGGAAGCCAGCTCCATTCTTCCTCATCCTCTGGTGACGAGGAGTATGGAAACGGCTTCCTGGTTAATCAAGAAGGCAGGTGGCAAGTCAATACTCGCCGCCCTGCTTCCTTAATGTGACTTCCGGTATGGGTATTGTGGATTAGATAACAGTGCCTCTACTTGCCCTTATGAATGTTGTGGTGAGCTGTTTGCCAGTTATGACATTGTGGTAAAAAAAAAAGAAGTGTTGGACTTTGCACTGCCAAGTCTAGGCATATATCTAAAATGTTCTCCAGTCATCCTCCAGGACAGTCTGTAAGAGACAGAAGCTCCCCCTCTCAGACTGGAAACACATTACCCAACAAGAAATAAAAAGGACTGTCCCCAGGAATTCAGTTTTAGTTTTTCCTCTGACGTTGCTGTTAGGGAGCGCTTGGGGTGCCAAAGGCTGCGCTAGTTTCCTTCTCCTTACCTTTGGGCTCCAAGACCCCTCCTCAGTACTGGCAGGAGGTGGACTGGCTCCCCGGTCCTCTTCCGTGCCTGGTGAGGGCCATCACCGGGCTTGCATTCCCCCCGCCCCGGTGTGGTGGTGGTGGTGGTGGTGGTGGTGGTGGCGGAGGAGTTCCTGTGTGGCCAGCCTCTCACGCGGTTGTGCAGGTCTGTGGTGCTTTCTTCCGACTGACCGTGTGATATTGTACATCACTTCAAGTAGGGTGACATAATTTCCAGGCACCTGGGGCTGTGCTCTCCAAGCCTCAGAGGAAGGTGAAAGCCTTGCTGCTACCCATTTTCGACACGACTTCCCAGCACAGGCTCTGAGGAAGCACTACACCTGCATGGATCCCCTGCAGGCTCATTCTGCAATGAACGCAGCCACACCTGGTACCAGCTCTGCTAAGGTAATTAGTGTTTTCCTTATCCTATTGTAATGCCTGTTGCTTTTTGCACAAGTCTGCATTTTTCACCTGGAGCCCCTTGGCGATGGGCTTATGGTGACTTTGGCACTGGGGTCTCTTGTTTGCTATTCAGCAAGGCTCCGGAAAAACCTTAAGTTTTCCTAGGAGGAAATGTGCGGTCCGCGGTACTAAGCATAACAATGCTCATACCAAGCACTTGTTCTAGACCTGCATTGATGATTTATTTAAGGAAGAGTCTGCTAAATCTTGCAGTAGCCTTTTGTCATCCCATCTTTCACTCATTTAGATCTCTGATTAGATATGAAAGCCCCAGCCGAGACCCCTTCTGTATTCAAGTCCTCTGCTTTTTATCAGTCATTTCCGGAGGAAGTTTTACACAAGCCATTTGAGCTGACTGAGTTGAGCAATACTAGCCCATCCCAGGTTGATTCTTCCAGCGAGGAAGATAGCAGTCATGACCATCCTGCCAAAGTGTCTTCTGTAGATCCAAACTATCCTTCGAGGAGGTAGATGATCAGCTCAAGGCTATCTATGAGACTTTAGATATTTACGAGGAGAAAGTGCAACTTTTTAGGCATCTAAAGTACCAGGGCTGCAGAGGAAGGTCTTAGTTTTTTTTTTCTGTTCACAAGGTGCTTTGTGATTCTTATCGAATAATTTGACATGGAATCCTGACACTTAGTAAAACCTCACCTAGTTGCTGGTACTCCCAGAGAACAGTTTCTTGAGTCCTTACCTATGCTGTTCAAGGCAGTGGGGTTTCATTGCTGGCGATTCAGCAGAACCTGTGAAAATGTTAGCTCTTATTAATTTTTCTCTTCAGGCCCTTTGACTTAAAGCTTAGGAAGAAGACTCTACATCCAAGCTGCGTTTATATAATTAGCCTTTTCAGGGGGATCAGCTTTTTGGTCAGGAATTGGAAGCCGCTGTAGAGCTTACCGCAGACAGAAAGAAGACCTTTCCGGAGAAAAAGAAGGAACCTTTATAATAGAAGATTTTTTTGTAGCCCGAGGATGCACACTCGGGACAAACCTAAGAAGCACTGGCTAGGCCAGAAAGTCAAGGTGAAATGTGGGATTCTCTTTAATCTCCCTACCCAAAACCCTAAGTCCCAATGACGCCCTCTGCCCAGTGGGAAGATTAGGATTCCTTCCACGGTGGAAATTCGACACATTTATTCTGGGGGATCACAGAACAGGGATACAGGCTGAAATTCAACAATCCTACTCCATTAACATTTATAGTGACAGATCTTCACAGGGTACCAATTAAGGCCAATGCACTTTCCCTGTTGGGAGATTTAGCACACAGAGCAGGTGGACATTTTTCCCATACCCAGAGAAGAAAAGGGGAAAGGTTTTTATTCTCACGTCTTTGTGGTGATGAAACCCTCAGGAACATTTTTCTTTATCTTGAATCTCAGACCCCTGAATGCTTTCATCAGGTATAAGAATTTCAGGATGGATTCCATTTTTTTTAGTCAAGACTATTCTACAACCAGATGCCTTCCTGGCAATCCTGGACTTTAGAGATGCATACTTAAACATCCCCATCACGGAGTCATCTCAACGAGTCCTACCATTGATGGTGAGGATCGGATCAGAGATTCATCACTTCCAGTTCAGAGCTCTTCCCTTCAGTCTCGCCTCAGCCCCTCGCATATTTTCCAAGGTCCTGGGACAAGCTCTGGCACCTCTGAGGCTTCATGCTATCAGTCTTATTCCCTACCTGAACAATTTACTTGTGATGGCTTCTTCTATAGATCAGTTAGCAAAAGACCTGAAGTTCACTAAAGAGTGGTTGCAGAGCCTGGGTTGGTTAATCAACATATCAAAACTAAACCCAGTTCCCTCCCAGGTGGTGACTTTTTTTAGGGTATATCCTGAACATGGTAGAAAAGATGATTTCTCTTTCGGAGGAGAAAATTCACAAATGTGCTGGGGTGTGTCTCAGCTCCAGGAAAATCAGGTGACTTCCATAAGATTTCATGTCAGTGGTAGGTCTGATAATTTCATGTTTTCCAGCTGTTCAAGGATCCCGCTTTCATCAGAGCGCGCTTCAGAATTTTATTTTATAAGTCTGCAATCATACCCAAGAGATCTTCGATTCGGTGAGACAAAAAAAGCAGAACACTTGAGCGTGCATAACTATTCACCCCTCTAAAGTCAATCATATTTTAAAAACTTGTGACATTTTTTTACTCTTTTTTTATGCTTATTGTTATTGCTATTACATAGGGGGATAACTATCCGCCTATATAATAGCAAAGGCACACTGACAAGTCCTCTTTATGGAGACATTAGGGATCTCTAAGACCCCTAATGTCACCTGGGGACCCCAAAAGAAGCTGATGAAGCACAGATCTGCTTCATCAGCTTCTTCTCTGTGGCTATAGCAGCCAGATGACTGACAGGTGAATGCGGAAGTGATGTAATACACATCACTTCTGCATTCACAGCACAGAGGGAGGTCAGCAAGGAGGAGGATGCTGACCTCCCATCTTCCTCCTGACGCCCCTCCCGAGCCGCATATGGGGCAGCGGATCCTGGGATTGAAATTGAGGCGTCAGGAGGGGGGCGGCCTG